AAAATCATCATTCATGAAATGATCCATTTAAAACACAAATTTAAAACATTTGTGGAGAAAGAAAGACAAGTGAAAGGACAAATTAAGTTTATTGTTTTGATCTAGTTGCTGGTGCTGCCAATGACCTATTTAAAATTTAGCTACTGTATTTCCATTTCCTTATTAGTAGTCCTTCTGCTTCATTTCACTGTGCTGTCTCCGTCTTTGGACAGGCAGCTCTAATGGAAGCTCACTTAAGCATACTATTTCACACACACCACCCCGCTCATCCTCCTTCAGTTCTTTTGGCTCAGCAGGGCATCAGAATTTACGTGTGTGAAAAACCACAGTAGCTTATTTTTTTGTATCACCAAAGTTGGCAGCCTGAACTCAATTGCTTAAAGTGGCAAGGAACTGCATGCTGAGAAGCAGCTGTTTATGCTGCCAGTCTTCAAAGGTGAGCTGTGCTATTGAAGGAGACTTAGCAGACAGAATAATCTGGTTTTGTACATGAGAAATTAAGAGTCCTAATCTATACTTTATATCTGTCAAAGCTTATAATTTTATTTTCAGATTGTAAGCCTGCAGGTAAGAGTTCGTGATTAAAAACAACACCATATATTGTTGTCCTTACACAATTTGGTGTCTTACAGTGCTCTAAAAATAAACGGGATGTTGATAGTGAACAGTACAGTGGTGCCTCGCTTAGCGATGTTAATCGGTGCAGCAAAAATCGCCGCTAACCAAAAACATCGCTAAGCGATTTTTAAAAGCCCATAGGAATGCATTGAAACCCCTTCAATGCGTTCCTATGGGCAAAAAACTTACCTTTAAGCGAAAATCCTCCATACGGCGACCATTTTCGCTGCCTGGTATGCGAGGAATCTGTCCCAAAACACTGCGGGCGACCATGATTTTTTCCTATTTAAAACGTCGCAATGCAATCGCTTTTTCCATCACAAATTCTTCGGCACTAAGCGGTTTTTTTTTCCTATTTAAAACATTGCAATGCAGTCGCTTTTTCCATCACAAATTCTTCGTCGCTAAGCGGTTTCATCGTTAAACGGGGCGCTCGTTAAGCGAGGCACCACTGTACATTTCACAGAGCAATCCTGTGCATGTTTTGTTTTCCATATGAGCCTGCCCATCTTCTAAGATCAGGCCAGGAGGCCCTTCTGAAGGTGCCATCCCTGAAAGAGGTGAGGGGGATGGCATGTCGAAATAGGGCCTTCTCGTCTGTTGCCCCCCAAATTTGGAATGCCCTCCCTAGAGAGATACGCCTGGCTCCAGCGCTTTTGGCTTTTCGGGGCCAGGCAAAGACCTTTCTGCTTAGCTAGCATTTTAATTAAACAGTATTCTCTAGCTGGCCACATGAGCAGCAGGACTTATTAATATTAATGTTTTAAGAATTGTTTTAACATAGGATATTTTATACAGTGGACCCTCGACTTACAGACGGCTCTACTTACAGACTTTTCGAGTTACAGACTTCTCTGGCCACAAAATTTAGATTCGACTTGCAGCTGGAGAATCGACTTACAGACCAGAAAAAAACCAAAATGTAACAAAAATAGAATAAAAACCGCTGGTTATGGGATTAATCGGTTTTCAGTGCATTGTAGGTCAATAGAGATTCGACTACAGACTTTTCGACTTGCAGCCACTGTTCCAATACGGATTAATTCCGTAAGTAGAGGGTCTACTGTATTGTCTTTTTAATGTTTTTAAGTTTTAATATAGTTGTACGCCACCCAGAAGCCACTAGTAATGGTGCGGCTAAAAATACTGTAAATACATAAATAAATGTTTTGGTACAGTCCATGTACCAGTGCATTCAGTTAGGTTTCCTCTCAGAAGAGTGTGGATAGGATTTCATCTTTAAGCTGTTGGCCCTGACATACTTACTCATCAATAAGTCTTATCAAATACTGCAGAGTTATTTAGAAGTTGTTTAGAGACTGTCCCAAAGATTCCAAGTAGGTGATTTATGTAACAGCCAGATTTTTGTTTTAAAAGACTTGTTTTTGAAACCTTTCCTTTGCCTCCTTTTCATCAGGGATAAACTGTTCTTGTCCTAACAAGAAAGATTAGATGTTTTTGGGAGCCCAGAGAGATTTCTGAGAGTGGTTTGAGTCTGATGTGTCATCACAGCTTATAAGTGGCCTGGGTCCAAAGAGCATCTGTGGAAGACTGGGGGGGTGGGAATTGCAGGTTTTCCCTCTACCTACTTCCACTTCACTAAAATTTACTGTGAAAATTGGAGGATCCTTCATAACAGAATGGAAGTTGATTCAGATGGCCACTTATATGTTACTGAAAAAAAAGGACACTGGTTTCTATAAAACTGCATATGCTAAGTGGTTTTTGTACATGGGAAATTGAGCATTATCTTTTTAATTTAAATGGAAATGTGGTGCATCTTATCCTAATGGGAAAGATTATAACCAGGTGAACACATGTGCCTCTGCTGTCCATGTCATCATTGTGGATGAGCAATTTCATAGCCCCTGGTTTCCCTTCTTACAGTTCTTTAAATCAGCCCTTCAAACGGAGAACACATTGAAAGTAAGAACAGGCTTTGGCAGTTTTCTCAGTAAAGGACTCTTCTCTGTAATGGGGGGTGCATGACCACTCAGCACAGGGGGCTGCAGGAGGGAGGGAGAAATTAAGGAAGACTGCTTCTGGTCTCCACTTGGTTGGAATCACCACGTGATCAAAAACCCATCCACAGACTGAAGGAGCTATTCTGTTCATAGGAGGGGTATAGGATACAAGCCACTGCTAGTAAACTGAATTAGGCATGATGCATAGAAAAGCAGTGTGCAAAATTACTGGCATAGAATGCATACATATGTCGGATATGTGTGTGTGTGTATAAACCAAAAATTGCAGTGGGGGGAACATACCTCAGTCTCAGCTGGATTGATTTTTAAAAAAAGATTTCAAACATTCTTTTAATTTCCGTACTTTAAGATTCCTGTTTTGTAAGAACTTTCCTATGTAAAAATAAATGTGTCCATTAATTTCTATAAATAAAGAATTTGTGATTTTTGGAAATTAAAGATTCCGCTCTGCCCCATTCCCCAATGGCTTCCCCACAAAGAGAACCTTGAGATGTTCATGGAGGGGGGGACTGGAAGCATTCAGTTTCTGAAAAACTGCCACTGATGCTGATGTCATCAGACTTACATGGCTGAAGTTAAACTAGTGGATTTCAATAACTCCAAGGGGTAAGCAGAAATCGGGTAGAAAACATAAATGAGTACAAGACCATCTAGGTGAGCATAGTGGTTTTCCCATGTGACACATAGGATACATAGCCTGGAGGCCGAAAGCCAGACCATATTGTCTGCCAGATCAGATGTCAGCTCTGTTTTGAGCTCATAATAAATTAAATAGATGATGTATTGGGCTTTAGGTTATGATGTTTGGCTTCAACAGGCCTATGTTCTCCTCTCCCTGCATGGCATTCCCTATTCATGGGTTCTTTTAGGTAAAGCGCCTGAGGCGCATGTGTCTGGACCACACTCTTGGAGGCCTCCTAGAAACGTGGTTCAATTAAAAACAAGGCTCCCGCTCTCCTTGTTCTCACAGGAAACAAAAGACAGCAGGAGATTTGGCCGTGTGGTGGGATTGATGGATCCACAGGTGGTAGTCACTAAATATCACTGGCTTGTTGGGGTTCATTTTAAAATGAAATCGAAATTTGAGTATCCTTTGAGGCACCATCTAAAGGCATGTTGGAAAAAAAATCTTTAACAAAACATTCCAGTTGATTTTTTCATCTATTCTACTTTGGCTGAAGTGATCCTGGGAAAGGTAGGACCAGCTCGGACTAGTCAGTAAACTCATGGATGGGCACACTCCTTGTATGGCTTGTGGGTGGTAGGAGCACTGAAGAGCAAAAGAGGATCTCCAGGGCTTCCAAGGGACACAGAAGCCAGTGTAGAATTTAGCACAGAGCTTGTTTTTGGACAATAGCTCCCAGAATCCCCCCCCCACCTTTGCTAGCGGAGGGGATTCTGAGGATGGTACTTTTAAAAAAGGAACATTTTCCAGCTCTGGTTTAAGCTTTACTGTGTTATGCAAAATCTAGACTTTACCATGCTTCTGGTTTATTTTCTGCTTTATTCACTCTTAATTTCTTTGAACCACCTCTCTGCAATATTTTTTTTCTCTGTGCTCTTTGGCAGTCTCTATAACATCACCCTTTTGACCTTCTTCATTGCCTTGGGCCACTTCCTCTCTGAAGTCTTCATTTATGGCACCGCAGCAGCCACAATTGGTGTCCTGGCCCCCCTTATGGTTGCAAGTAAGTAGAGTTCAGCTGTCTCTCTGTGCCTTGCCCTAGGTTTTCACAGTGGTCGCCCACTCTTCCTGCAGATGTTTCACAGCAGCCTCACAACAGCCCTGTGAGGTCAGACAGTCCAAGGCAGCATGTCTCAACCTTTGATCCATTCGTTTAAGCTCCAACCAGCATAGCCAATGGTTAAGGACACTGGACGTTGAACATCTGACAACATCTAGAGGGTGAAAGATTGAGAATCATTGGGCAAAATATGTTACTTGCCCAAAGCTGTTGAAGTTCATAACTGAAGAGAGAGCTGAAGTTGGGTTTTCCAAACCCAAATGTAACTAATGTCTCTTACAGATATAGAAGGGGGAGTGGGAGATATGCTTGTATCACGAGAAGTATTCTCTCCTCCTATTTTACTTGTCTCAGGCTTCTCCATCTTGGGTATGCTGATTGGACTGCAGTATCTGGAAGTAGAAGCAACATCACAGCACAAGAAACGGAACTGAAGTCACAGATCCTGTCTACATTAGGCCTGCCGACCAACCATCTTCTAGCATCTACCACCACATTGCCTCCTTGACCTCTTCTCCTCACCTTGTACCTTACAAGTGGTCAGAGCATACTTGGACATCTGTCATCTTTTTGCACCAAACTGGTTTTGTTCTGAACAGACAACACTAAATCTGGATCCAGTGACAGAAGCATGGTTCCAAGTTGGGTGTGAGTATTCCTTGAGAGAGTGCATGGTCTGAAAGCATCTGTAGCTCTCCAGGAGGAGTGCAGGATGCACGAGGTGTGCCAAGTAAAGCGAGCAGATTTCTTGCTCTCTCTCCTCATCCCATCCCATGCAGGATGCCTAGTAGAGAGGAAATGTGTGCTTCCTAAGATCCAGTGAGGATGGTTGTGGGAAGGGAGGGCCAGGTATCTATTTTTGTGATATACTGAGCAGCCAGTGTATTTGTCTCTATGCGTGGTTTTTAAAAAATGAGAGAAATGAGAAAGAATCATGCAGAAGTGTAGCTTCTTTTTATCCACTAGAGAGAGGGAGAGATGTTGTTTCCACTCTCCCCGTCTTCTCACTCCTAGTCTTTGCATTAGCAACAATGACTGAGTTCTTCATTCCACCTTCCAGCGAAACAGTGTTAGTGCACTTACATTTAAAAGAACAGACTGCTGTTTTAGATAGCTCGTTTTCAGGGGTGGGTTTTGTTTTGGGGTTTGTTTTTGATTATTATTTTTTTTTGGACCACAACTCTCAGAATTCGAGACTCTAGTCACAGTGGCAAAAGTGAGCTGTAAATTCTAATCTTAAAAAAGTAACGCATCCACACTCTATTAACCCCCAAACCAACCTCATTTTTTGTTTATGTTCCTTTTCTTAACCTGGTAAGAGACTTCTTTCAATCCCCCTTTGGCAAGCCAACTCTGAGAATAAATAGGAGACTTTTCTACAGCACTACTCTGTATATGAGAGCTGGCACAGTCCCAAGTTGGGAAAGAAGTTGCCATACAAAACTAGCTTTAAAAATTATTTTTATTGTTGCATTTTAGTACATAGTTTAGAGTGATAGCAGGGTCCATGTAAAGAAAAGGCTAGAAAAGATCAACAGAAATACTGGATTTTTCCTGCTTCTACAGAAAAAAAGCTAGGTCAGCCCTGGTCTTATTCACTGTCATGACAACTACTGCCGTTGTAGTTCTACAGATGATAATACAGCTACCTCTCTTTGCCAGAGCACCACACAGAATTAGAGTAGCTCAGTTAACACAGAATTCAGCTGCTTGGTAGAGCTGTGCTATGCTGATTCAGAAGTCGTCACACTGGTTGCCAGTTTGCTGCCAAGCCCAGTTGAAGCTATTGGTGCTAAAGCTTGAAACAACTTGGGTTCCAATGGCATTTTGTCCCGTATGCTGATGAACTAAGACCAACAGATGAATTCCATCAGAAGAGATGTATTATGGATCCACAAAGGAGAGAGCCCCCAAAAAGTGACCTAACAGATACCAGCATCCTATTGTTTTCAACGCCAAATGAACACACTTCTGTTTGCCCAGCTGTTTAAAACTGGTTACACTGTTTTTAATCCATTGAATAATCTTCTTGATGCCTTTCATATTGTATTGATGTTTACTTTTGTTATTAATTTTGTACTATTGGGTGTTACTGTTTTTTTAATGTATACTGCCCTAGAATCTGTTTTGGGATAAAGGTCTGTTTATACATTTTTCAAAAATACGGTACATACATATCTAACATTAAAGCTTAGTGCACAACTGCCCAAACTAAAGAGGAAGAAGAAAAAGTGCCCAGTTTCCAGAAGCATCTTCCTCTGCTGTATATAAATGACTTGGAGAAGTCCTTTGGAAGGAGATGTCTATAGGTAGCTTAGGTAGCTTAACTTTTTGTTGGTTGATACTCTCTGCATTCTAAGGTGTTTGCATTCTCACCAGCCCTTCACAATGTAATCAAAAGTTCAGTATGCCCATTCTCATTTTGGTGCTCTTTGTAACTTATGATGTATTCAGTACTAAGTTGTATTTTATAAATGAGATTGCACGTACTGTCAGATGGTGAAGGAACAGAATGGTAAAGGCTTAGATTGATCATCTCCCACCCTCCACCGCCGTGCATGCCTATAGGTGAAGTGGAGAATTCTAACATAATGAGAACCAGTATTTAGTCCAGATGAATTAACGTGCAATACAAATATTGTGCTAATTTACTGATACTACATATTTTTTAAAAAAATTATGCCTGTTGATTTGTACACCATTTATCTATTGTTAAGCTGTTCGCCTACATTAAAACACAAGATGGGCTAGATTTTACTTCATCCAAGTACTAGCCGTTGACTAGTATATGAACCACCTCTCTGCAATATTTGAACTACCGTATTTTTCCATATATAAGATGATACTTTTGTCTAAAATCTTTAGACTAAACATTGAGGGTCATCTTATACACAGAAGCTGAGGAGAGAACAAAAACAAGTGGAGGGGTAAAGGGATCAAAGCGATCCTGCAGCGCTTTGATCCCTGCTTTCCTCCTCCACTTGCTAAGCCCCAGAGGCATAACAGGCAGAGGGGATAGCAGGGATCAAAGTGCTGCAGGATTGCTTTGATCCCTGTTTTCACCCTTTGTGCTAAGCCCCATGGGGCGTAACAAAAGGAGGGGGAAAGGGATCAAAGCAATCCTGCAACTGCAGGAGGAGGAAAGGGATCAAAGCGATCATGCAGCGGTGGGATTTCTTTGATCCCTTTCCCCCTCCACTTGCTAAGCCCTGCTTAGATTTCTTAATTTTGGGTTAGAGAGGGGGGAATCTTATACATGGGGGCATCTTATACACAGAAAAATATGGTATATTTTAGCATGGAATGGTGCCACTTTCTCAACATGCTCTGTGACTGCATAGCTCTGCTTACTCAGTGAAAGTGAATCTAGGACCCAACTGGGCAATGTTAAAAACATTACTTGAATAACTAAAGTTAACTCAGTGAAAGTGAATCTAGGACCCAACTAGGCAATGTTAAAGACATTACTTGAAGCGCCACTAAAGTTTTTTTATTGGTTTGAATTGGGGGTTTTAATGGTTGGCCATTAAAAACAAATTAAAAAGCCAACAGAGCACTTTAAATCATGCATTTATGGTAACATTGTGTTGTAATGCTGTTATGTGCCATCAAGTCTCCCCCAACTTACGGCAACTCCAGGAAACAGTGATGTTCAAAATGTCCTGTCCTCAGTAGCCCAGCTCAGTCCTGTGGCTTCTTTTTGGGAGTCAATCCATCTTGTATTTGGTCTTCCTCTTTTCCTGCTGCCTTCAACCATTCCCAGTTATAACGCTAAGTTGCAAGAATGTTGCCATCTGTTCCCATAGGTTTTTAAGACTGCAGCCTCAACCCCCAAGTATTTGGGGGAGGGAACACCATTAAACACAGTGGCCCAGAATGATGTTGGGGGGGGGGAAGCTGTACACACAACTGTAATCATGCAAATGTTTCCCCTCTTTGCTGGGGTAACCATGACACAGCCAGATGCACACATTGCAACACCAGCAAAAGGAGAACTGCTTGTTTGATTACTGCTTTGCACATGGTTTTTCCAGCAGAATTCTAGCCAGTGGGAGTGAATTCTAAGCGAATGTGTACAGGATTTCACCACATGATTTTCATGGAAAAACTTGGAGGCAAATAAGAGGAACTCAGAGTTAAACAAGACTCAAGCTGCCTAAATGATGATCACAAATAAAGGAGCATGCTGGGCCTCCACAAGGACCCAGCCAACAGACAAAAACTGTCCTGAGCACCTTGGCTGTGCCACTGACATCACAGTGCAGCTAGAATGCAGTTGTAACCTATTGTTTTGGTGGCCCTCAAATGAGGGTAGATCAAGCAAGGCAGAGCTCTAGAAACAGCACTCCTGCAAGGTAGATGTCATATGCTTGCAATCTTTACACAAAAGACAAATCTGACAGCACAAAAGAGAAATATTCAAAAACATGGCAACTGTCCCAAGATACTCTGTGACTCACCATAAAGGGCATTAACCAAAAAAACAACACACACCCTTGAAAATGGAGGCTCCAGTGTGAAAACCCCTGGAAAAAGCAGTCCTATCAACCATTATCTAAATAGAGATCATGTGTTTCCGTGTCTACAGGTGTTTGTGAATGCCAGAATGCTTGGGTCATCAGTAGTGTTTTCTGTGCAGCAAGTGTAATTATTTACATACATTTAAGTTTTAAAAACAGTGGGTATCGTTTGTCTTGCATTTTGTTTCTATGTGACTACTTATTTCTCCCATCTAAACCCATACACAAGAAAATAACATCCTATCAAGTTAGAATAAGAATTCATCATTCTGATGAATCAGGCTCTGCTCTATAAAGGTGAATGTCTTAATAAATCTGTTAAAATGTTGCACGGCATGTTGTTTTTGCAGTACTAGACAGACACAACTACATATGCCGGGACAGTCCCCTACCATTCGGTAGGCACACCCAGAACAATGACACAGAAACAAAGGGTGGGCGAATAGACACTGTCTAGGGGGGTGGGGTATAAATCGAATAAATAAAATAAATAAATTCCAATTCTGTGAAAATATGCTGATGTGCTGTCACATTGATAAAGAATAGAATATAACTAGTACTGTGGTGCTCCCATGGAAAGCTCTGCCAGTGGCAGGGAACCAATAAAAACAATAAGTTGTTAGTCTCTCTCTCCCTCCACCCCCCCAAAAAAAACCCATTCCCATGTGGCTTTTTGAAGTGATAAACTCATTTCACTAGCCCTTTCCACTCATGCATATGTTCTGTGCTATCAAGTTGATAGCTAATAAGGCTCTCAAGGTCAGTAAGATACTGAAGGAGTGGCTTTACTAGTTCCACTCTTCCAATGAGTTTCCATGGCTGAGCAGGGATTCGAATTCTGTTCTCCAGAGTCCGAGTTCATCACTGTACCCACTACACCACACTGGAAAACTCACCACCTAAGATTATTCTATTCATGTCTTTAGGATTGCAACCAGGGAGTATGTCTCAGTAAAATTCAGAGGCTTCAGTTCTGAGCTACCTTTAAGATTTTACTGTTAAACATTCATTTTACACAATTTCTCTGTAATTTATTCACTGCTGAAATGTAAAACAAGGAAAAAAGAAAAATACAGCAATGAGACAATACATTTAAACATGTTGAACTTTATGGCAAAAAAAAAGCCAAAAATGCAACATTGCTATAGAGGAAAGAATTGGAAAGAACAAATTTAAATATGAAAATATAATAACAGCAATAGAGTAGTGCTTCTAAAACTATAGCACAAACTCCTTGTGCCTCCCCCTCTCGAGGCTAACTCTGAAGGGTTGTTAAACTTTCTGGGACCAATTTTCAGAGTGCAAGGGGGAAAGCTAGGTTGCAACCACTCTTGCAGTGTTGGATTTAGTTCAAGGGGTTACTGATTAGCCCTACTGAGATCAGAAGCACTGAAGTGAAAACAAATTAAGTTACTCATAATTGTTTAAATAAGACCTATAAGAGAAGGATTGGGCTTCCGGGTTTGTTATTGCTGGGTTGTTGGTTTTTTTGTTTTTGGGGGGGTATGTAAGACCTATAAGAGAAGGATTGGGCTTCCTGGTTTGTTGTTATTGCTGGGTTGTTGTTTTTTTGTTTTGTTTTTTTGGTACAGGAGTGGGATGGGGAATTAAGTGCTCACCATATGAAGAAGGACAGTAATTGCATTTGCCACAGAATGGGATTCTTTATCAGTTATTTATCCATTATTTAATTTTGGTCAATATTGTTATGGCACAAATTTTGCAGGGCACATCCCACTTCCAATGGTCAGTGTGCCCTTTGTGCCATAATAAAAGGTGCTAATTTTTAAGGCCCACAAGACTACTTTAACTGCAACACCTGGATAGCTACACAGACCTTTTCACAAATAAAGTGCTACATAGTGGAGGCCAAAGAGCTCATAAATCAGTTTCCAATTCTCTGCAGTTATGTAAGGCTGCCACAAGACTACTCTGCCATTTCCGAACATACAATAAAAGTGGCAAGCGGTACTAGGATTGAATGGAGTTTGCACACCTCACTCAAATGAGTGGAACTGGCACAGCTCTCCTTACTTTGATTGGAAAATGGCATTCTTCACTCTTCAGATTTCTCATTTGCCATCCTGGTGTATGGCTGGCTATGACTGCATTGTTGTAGTAACATGAGCACTGCAAACCACACAAGGTTCACCTTTCTTCACAAAATTAAGCTGCATTTTTCCTCCCCAACAGCAAAGCAATCCCTGTAGGCCACTGTATATTCACTTTCAAACTGGCCATCTTCTTACAAACCAACAACCTTGATTATTTACTCATATTTGACTGAGAATTTTTTAAAAAAATATCCACCAAATTGTTACATTTTATGGTCCTGTGATTCTTCACACCTCGTTCGTGGCATTTTTTTTCCTTACAATACAGCATATCTGTACTGCCACCCTTTCTAGTACAGACTGTCAAAAGTACAGTACTACCAAGATTTGTAAATAATATTGTGCTTTTAATTGAAACCTCCTCCTCAAAGTGCTCCTTCTTCCTATTCAGCACAGCTGAGGCAACTGTGATGAACTGCCTCTTAAACAGTCTTGGGGAATGCTTGAATAAGGACTTTCCTTCTGTTATTTTTATTATTACTATTATTATTTGATACCAAAATAGCATTATTCCTTCTAGAGGAAAAACTTGGGAAACCAGTCGTGGAAGTTACTGGCTCCCGTAGCCGCAGAAGTTGCCTTGGTCACTCCAATAATGTTCCAAGGAACTTGGAGTAAACATTAGAGAAGGCACTTGGCCCTGGGGAAAAAGATTACAGGGTAATAAGCTATATTAAGCACCATTTGAAACATATTTTGTTTGTGCATCCATCTGGTTGTGGAAAAGCAACACCACAGCAGTGCTAAGAAGACCTAAAGTGAGGGGAAAATGCAAGGCAGGCTGTGCTTGTCAAATCCTTTTTAACAATCAGTTGCACTTTAACATTTCTAGAATATGACCATGATCTGTTAAAAGAGAGTGTTTCCATTTCAAAATGATGGCTCATTATCTTTTTCTTTTGAATGTGTTGGAGTGGAGTTAAAACTGGGAAGTTTTAAAGAGGAGGAAGCCTCAACCACTTTTGGCCTATTTATCTCTTGATAGGTTAAGTTTCCCATATGCAAATCAAGAATTTTACTCCAGTTAGGGCTGCTCACAAAGCAAATAATTGGTTCTCCCTGAGGAGCAAGGATCTTCCTTTGGATCCATTTCATATCCCATCCTGCCGATCTATTGAATGGTTAAATGGATAGACAAATGGTCGTTCTCAGTCCATTCTGAATGCACTGGAAGTAATGCTGTGTTCAGTGATTTGGCTGCCACTGCCATAATGAGACAGCTGTTGGCTTCAGTTTCTTTCTGCTGAGCAGCAGAGAACAAAAGAAGCTGGTTCACATGAGGGTGACTCTTGAGTCCTGTGCTTTTCTTTCCTTAGCTGCATAAGCAGCTTCCCCGATTGCTCTTGCTTGCTGATGGAAGGTGGAAGATAGTAGAGATGAGAACTCTCCCATCACCTCCTTCAGATTCCTCACACAATGGTATTGAGCTGGTTTTGAGGAACTTCATCCAATTTCTTCTGAAAGAAAGAAAAAATGTATATCGATCAGGGGCAGCAGAGAGAGAGAGAGCAAGGCACTCAGCAGCATACACTCCTGCAAAAGAGAGCCAACCCCTGCTTTGCATTCAAGTATCTCAAATGGCAGGACAGCAAGGATCCCAAGGGAAAGCCTGATGAATTTTCTGTAGGCACAGGTGCCTGGTCCCGATCGCTACTCAAAGGGAGGTGGAAAAAGCAAAGTCCAAATGAAAAAACATTCACCCTCAGCTAGGAAAAAGCCAGCTTCCAAAGTCCAAATGGAGAACAGTACCTCTCTAGCTGCAAAGGAACAGGAAAGAGAGAGAAGGGCGATATAGGTAACAGCAAGGAGAGCACAGATACCAGAAGTTAACTTTCAACACTAAAATGTATCATGCCACTTCTAAAAATGCACTTGTTGCCATGACCAAGAAATGCACAACCCAAGAAATTGTCTTGAAAGCTCAGGGCCAGTGATACCATTCAGCTTTGGTGACATACCAAAAATGAATTACCACAACCAGGAATTTCCTTCAAGCCTGCCTGATCCACATTTCACTTAGGCGCCTGGTATGGGGTTCATATAGAATTGTTGTAACACACTGCTGGTAGAAAGGAGTATTATATTCTGCTATCTACCACTAAGTGGGAAGCAGTAACACCACCATTAGGGCCAATGCACTGTTATTCAGACAACAAGTGTTTCCAAGATACCCTGTAGAAAATAAGGCTCAAGCGGGGCAGGAAATTAGTGAAATGATGAGTTAAACTGTTGGCTTAAGTTGCCTCTTAACCATAGACACCATGTGCCTCGTTGGTTTCCTCCATTGTTAAGCAACGACCACATCTAAACAAGGAAGCTACAAAGTGGCTTATTAAATATTAATCTTCATAGGACCAGCCCTAGTGGTTACTAAACAGGGGGAAGGTGGCTGCGCCAGGCAGGTTATTTGGGCAATCTGAGGTCCAGAAACAGAGGCTGAAATTCAGTAGTAAGTTGCAAATAGAGTAGGCCCATTTGAACCAATGGACCTTACAGAGGACTCACCAAATTCCCACTGAGTCAATGGGCCTACTCTAGTTGCAACTTCTTTCTAGATTTCAGCCATAGTTATATAATTTAATTTTCTTGTATTTTTATTGGTAAGGAAGGGAAAGTGCTACTTTGGGATTTTCCACCTCAGATGCCAAAACATCTGGCAGTGGCCATTTGCTGCTTCATCTCAGACAAAAGGTCTGTGTAGATACATATATTTGCACATAGCGAGACAGACAGACTATTAAGTCTGTTTCAATCTGATAGAGTCAATGAGACTTGCTCCCAGGTAAGGATCACAACCTTCACTCAGATTTTGACATCTCTTCCTCTCACCTCAATAAGAAATGCAGGACGTGAGAAGTCTGCAGAGAAAAAGCAAAATAAACATCTCCGTTTGCTTCACAAGTCAGGACCTGCAGGTCTTTGAGTTCCTTCCACAAGCTAGTATTAGTGGAATTTGGCAGCTCTACTTGAATAACTACAACAACCTCAGCAGATGTCAAACCTCAGTGCTCAGCAGCAGAGAGGGCAACCCAGGGCCTTCCAGATGCTGATGGATTACATCCCCTTTCAGACCCTACCACCATGGCCAGTAGTGAGAGATGATTGGGGGCTGCTGCGCAACAATATATGGAGGGCCACAGGTGAGATTGAGAGAACTATAATTCCCAGAATCCACAGTCAGTTATATCAAGAAAAATAACATTTCCAAGCTCTTGGGCCAAGTATATTTAGGTAAGTTTATACGAGTGAGGACACACCCCAGCGCTACAACTAGCCTAATAAATTCTCACATCATGCATGCTATGCAGCAAACTGGCAACACACTTGCAGCCCAGGAATGCATTGACTACAACAGCAAAAAGAAAAAAGAAAAGAAAAGAAAAATCAAGGGGAAAGAAAGCTCTGCCATTACAAGTCTCTTCAGAACGTACAGAAGCATGGTGTCAAGAGGCATAGCTATGAACCCCGAAGTCCAATTTACAACGCCTTGACATTTAGCACGTTCAATGCACAAGCACTGATCATGTCCCATCCAGTTTTTCATTTTCACTTAAACATTTAGTTGCTCGTGCAACAATTAAAATAATCTTAACCACCAATGATACATTTAAATTCTCTTTGCTTTATGAGAGGCTACTATGTTTGCATTCCAGTTTAATACTAAACTGGGGGTTCTACAAACTACACATTCCCAAGTTTCCCCCAAAAAGGATATTGTGGATTGTTATGAACTGCACCTGGAACTCTCTGCCTCTTGTTATACAGAATATCAGAGGCTCAATCCAGTTATTTAATATTAAACTAAGGTTTATCAGCATGGAGGCTTCAACCTGGGACACTTTTGACTCAAAAATAACTACAGTTTTTGTGGAGATTTGTAAATAAATGCCAATTTGAGTTAAGACTGAAGTAGGGATGATTCCAGCCACCATTTCTACATGGAACGAACCACTTGAATCTAACAGCCATTTGTATCTCTGACCCTTATCGCAATGGAGAATAGCTGGGCTTTTTTATGCTCAAAAGCATCAAAACTAGCATGATAGGAAACTCTGATCTAAGGCTGAAGATATGTTGATGTTTAGCTCAACATGAGGACAGAGACGCACGAGTGTATGTTTTGCTTTGTTTTGTTTTGAAATAAAATAGCATCCAGAGAGAAGAAAGTTCTAACCTTTGCACACATAATTATCCCTTTTTTATAATTCTTTCCAAAATAAAAATTATGCTTGACATTGAAATAAAACTGTACACACATATGCTGTATTTCTTTCTAAATAGGTCATTACCAGTGGGGTAGACTGGGGATATGATAGGTCAAATTCAATGCATCTAGTATACATTTCAATCACCTCATTCTAATATAGATTACCCTATCCCTCCAGCTGCCTTTAGGGGTGGGACAGGGAAAAAAGCTGAATAACATTTACATCCTTTTGTCTAGCATGGGCCTCAATGTTACTAATCTTCAAATGAGGCCTGTGGGGGGATTCTAAAACATACTTAAATGCTTTTAAGGAGTATTCTGCAATAACAAATCATCATTCCAATCTGAAATTAATGGGGCAGGTACAGCAATAACTTAGGATAATTGGCATATATTGATATTACATTTCACAAGCAGCAAAACTTGAAACTAGCAGCTGTGGAAGATGGGTTCAAGGTTTCATTGTACAGCCTCCATAACCAAAGATACATGATTTTTCAATATGCATCAGTATTGATTGCTCACCACTCTGCCACTCTAAAATGAACTCGAAAGGCAGGACATTAAATCCAAATAATAATGACTACATCTAGCTCTGTTCAGCAGCTGCCACAGCCGCCCCACCCAGTTTTTTAACCACTCTTTTTCAGTCCTTTAGGATTTTGCCCAATATTGGCAGTTCAGCTAATTGTCTCTAACCAAAGAAATCCCTTCACTTGAGAATGGTGACCAGTAAGTGCCTGAACACGTGTTTTGAGCCACAGCAGAAGATGAAACTGTAGGAAAGACAAAGAGCTAGACGACGCATATTCCAAATATGAGAGCAGCAAAGTATTAAGCAAGAGCAGGAAGGCTTCATCTTTAAAAGCCCAGGGTAATCGTGCAAAGCGAAACATTTTGTGAGTTGCACTAGCCATTTAAACCCCCTAAAGGCTCCAATCCAATGGCTATTTCAGCTGCAAAGCTTAATTGTGGGTAGGCAGGTGGTCAAATTTTGCAATAGAAGCTGAATTTAATGACTGTTTGGTTTGCTCCACAGGCAGTGCTTGGTCTCTTCTCCACCCATCTTGTTTGTAGGGACTAGATATCCGAGAGCAGAAGCCTCTCATTATCTACTGTAACATTTCCTGCTGAGCAAATAAGCACAAAATGTCAGATGCATGTTAAATGACAAAGTTAAGGATAACAGATTGTTTTCCAAACTCATTCTCAGTGCCTTCTCCTAATTAGGCAAGACAATCTCCTCCAGAAATAGTTTCCAAAAACAAAAGCCAGCTTTTTCTATCTGATCCAAGTGTAGGCAACTTAGGTGGGAGTATGTGCTATTTTTCAATCTACCTGATAATGCAGGAGCTTGCACTCCCCAGCGGGCAAACTGGAAACAGGCATAGACAAATTCACTCTTTACTTTCATTTAGCGGTTAACTGATAAATGATCAAAGATTTGATCTTGTGTAATTTTTTTAAAAAATTAATTTTTAATTATATGTAAGGAATGCATTAATCAAATGTATTGATTACATGTAATTCATTATTTTAAAAAACCATTCAGTATTTTATTTATTTAGTCTGGTTATTCAAATCGGTTGTACTTATTAAAGTACACAAGCTGAATGCCAACCATCACCATCAGGAAATTAAAGTTGTGTGGTTATTCAATCACCAAATGGTCCTTAAGCACAGACACATGTTAGGATGGAGGACAAACGATCTCCATGGAAGCTGTTTAATGATGAAACTCGAACAGCTATATCAGAAAACAGAAATACAGTATAATTATAGAAAAAGGAGTTTAAAAAAGAAGAGTCCTATATGAATAAATGTCACTTGAAAAGGGAAACCTTATGGGGGCAAGGCAAGGTTTAGACAAGCAGCAAAGGCAGCTTCTGACATGCAGTTTGCCACCGATTTTCAGCAGCAATTGATGCTGCCAATTTTCACTAGAGATTGTGCTGCCAATTTTCTTTTCCTGGTGTAAAAATGGCTTGGGGGCTGTATGAGGTCCACAGGACATCTGACCTCATTGCTAAAATTCTGGCTTCAGATTATTTGAAGAACAAACAGCTGCATTTATCTCCAGGTTTATATGAACATTACTTGGAGGCAGTGCTATAATGATGAACTCTGATATCTCAGCAAGACGGTTATTGTGCTGCCAATTTTCTTTTCCTGGTGTAAAAATGGCTTGGGGGCTGTATGAGGTCCACAGGACATCTGACCTCATTGCTAAAATTCTGGCTTCAGATTATTTGAAGAACAAACAGCTGCATTTATCTCCAGGTTTATATGAACATTACTTGGAGGCAGTGCTGTAATGATGAACTCTGATATCTCAGCAAGACGTTTCAACAGACCTCCCGCTGAAAAGTTGAGAGGCATATTGTCTCCAAGAAAAACCTTTTTTATTGTAAGGGGAAGTGGTTCGACACACACCATTTCTATATAACTCCATAACCTACTTTTCTGCCAAGATTGGTAGCTATTGCTAGACTTTGGAACTCATTTCCACAGGAAGCTGGATGGGCCAATTTTCCTCCTGTACTTCCCAGGCAGATAAAGACCTTTTCTTTTTTGGGAAGAGAGCACAGGAAGGAGGCTTTTGCATGCTGTGCTCTTTTTTTAGCTTTTCTTTTATGTTTTTATACTGTTCTAAAATATTTCAATGCAACATTTGTTTCAATGGGGTGTGTTTCATTGAGTTTTAACATTATAATTTATTGTATTCTTAGTCAAATCTGTGTTTTAGCCAAATCTCTATACCTACTGAGAGAGAAAAAAGTATTATTTTAAAAGTAAAATTGTATCATTCTTAACTCTTAAATATTGCTTTCACATTAGCTCTGAAATCTGCCATTGATTTGGTGCTAGTGCAGCCTCACAAAAACTGCAGGCTGAGATGGTTCTCCTACCTTTATCAGAGAGTTATTGAGCAGGGGTGGGAAATGATGGGGTTAAGGCACATACTCCATAATTCATTATTTGACTCTTATTGCCCTGGAGTCTCTGTAAAAACAGCCACAAGTCACAATCCAGAAAGGAGCAGAACAAAAAAAACAGGAAGGGGGCATTTATGGCTGGAAGAAAAAAGTGAGAAGTAGGACTGTAGACAAGTCAATCCATCCAGTCTCGATGGATCCATGAAAATATGAGAGGGCTTTCAGTTCTATAAATGTACAAGGCAGTAGGAAATCTGATGAAGCCAGGATGAGGCCCTTTGCTCGCCTCATTTCTGTGAAGACATTTCACTTGAACCAGCAGCCCTGTAGGACCCCCTTATCTGTTGGATCAGCATCCGCTGAGTCACTTATCCATGGTCTGTCTGAAAATATTTTAAAATATTAAAAGAAAAATCCCCAAAATACAGTATATATTTCTAATTATGAAGTTAACAAAACTAGCCACTAGAGGGATAAAGAAACCATGCTATATATACAGCATTTTCTAGATAAAGGTAAAGGTAAAGGTTCCCCTTGACAATTTTTTGTCCAGTTGTGTTCGACTCTAGGGAGCAGTGCTCATCCCCGTTTCCAAGCCATAGAGCCAGCGTTTTGTCCAAAGACAATCTTCCGTGGTCACATGGCCAGTGCGACTTAGACACAGAACGCTGTTACCTTCCCACCGAGGTGGTCCCTATTTATCTACTCGCATTTTGCATGCTTTCAAACCGCTAGGTTGGCGGGAGCTGGGCCAAAGTTTCGACTCTAGGGAGCAGTGCTCATCCCCGTTTCCAAGCCATAGAGCCAGCGTTTTGTCCAAAGACAATCTTCCGTGGTCACATGGCCAGTGCGACTTAGACACAGAACGCTGTTACCTTCCCACCGAGGTGGTCCCTATTTATCTACTCGCATTTTGCATGCTTTCAAACCGCTAGGTTGGCGGGAGCTGGGCCAAAGTCACGGGAGCTCACTCCGTCACGTGGATTCGATCTTACAACTGCTGGTCTTCTGACCCTGCAAATATATATTTCTAATTATGAAGTTACCAAAACTAGCCACTAGAGGGGACCAGAAACCATGCTATATATAGCATTTTCTATCCAATAGCATTTGATGTACAGTAATTCATATTTTTCGGCACCTGCAGGGGGGCCAAAGTCACGGGAGCTCACTCCGTCACGTGGATTCGATCTTACAACTGCTGGTCTTCTGACCCTGCAGCACAGGCTTCTGCGGTTTAGCCCGCAGCGCCACCACGTCCCTATCAGCATTTTCTATCCAGTAGCATTTGATGTAATTCATATTTTTCGGCCTCTGCAGGGGGCCTTGGAACCGGCACCCCACAGATATGGGCTTCTACTCTATACTAAATGTTCGCAAGTTAATATTTCTTGGGGAGGGAAAAGTAATTTCAAGTGGAGAATACAGAATCCTTGAAAAAAGACAAAAACAATTCCAGACATACATTTTTTCACTCTTGCTAGTGGCTTATCACACCTACTCATGTTTCTGAATCATAATCTCACTTCTCTTCCAAGTGAGGTCATTATTTATGATAATGATGCATCAATATCATAATATTCATCAGATCTGGCAGTATGAGAATATCACTCTGACTACATGAACCTAGTTCTGAGGGCCAGCAATGCTTCCTCTGTTCTACTGAACTCTAGATGATGACTGCAGAACAGAAATAAGCACAGTTACTACCAGTGCTTAGGATTTCACTAGGCAAAGCAGGTGCTTCTCCCATCTGTCATGCTGTTGGGATTTCCCCCTTCCTGATAACAGTATTGGGCCATTTTCACACCCTTCACCCATTTTTCTGTGTATTTGGCTTTACAGAGAAGAGGCTCACAATATGGAAAATGCTTCTTATCATCTCTCCAAGATATAGCTGGACTCCCTTTATCAGCCTAAGACCATCCAACCAATGGTGGCAGATGCTGGGAATTGTTTTTCAGCAATACCTGGAGGGTCACAGATTTCCCACTTCTAAATTATGGGAATCTTTGAAACTGTATACATATTTCAACCGACTGGCCCTTCATGTTGAATGTAGGTGACATGAATGGCCTCCTTCCTGGAAACATGAAGAAAATTAAAGAAATAAGCAGGCAGGTTGAAGGTAAAAGTTAGAATGATATTTCTTTAAAAAAATTGAAATCAGAAATTTAAATTTTCAGAATTCAGATTTTGCTACTAAAATCTGGATCCAAAATTAAGTTTGCCCCCATGATTTAAAATTATTGCTTGCTTGGTGTCCCATTCAAGGAGCCATATGAGTATGCATGAAAATTTATTTATTTATTACTAACTGCAGCTGCATACACATCCTTAAGCAGTGAGAACTACTGAAGATGAGCTATAAAATACAGTTAAAGATCAACTGCCAATATTAAATACAGACAAAAATTGAGCAACACCATGAACAAAGTTGGCAAAGAGAAAAATCAGTTTCATCTTTGACTAGAACTTTTGGCTTGGTTTCTATGTGTAATAAATATTATGCTTATATCAGCCCTGTTCCTCCTCAAAGGTAAGGCCATCCCAACCATTGCCCTCTCCATGTCTCTCTAATCCATGCCACAGTCTGCAACAAAGCGGAGGGTATGTACGATGGTGCCTGCAGCCAAAACAACAACACTCACTTGTTCATAGTTTAGTCTACTGACAACAGATTGTCACCTGTCTCAACCAGGTAAAAGGAGTCTTTTGTCCTCCAGATCTTTTGGACAGCCAATAGGTCCTGCCCCCTACAGCTGTGCCTACGTAGGTCCACTGACTCCTGGAGCTGAATCTAGCAGCAGCACTCAACTGTTAATAACTCATACCTGGCACAGCTGAGACAACAGCCACACTTCCCCAGGCTGGCACAATGGTTCAGAGCAACAGTTATGATCACAGCTCACAGGTGGGGCTTATGATTGTAAGCTCCCAACAAAAAAAATATTGTGTACTCACAGTCTGTTCATTATCCAAATTGGCCCGCTGTCTCCGAAGATCAGGCTTGATGAAACCTAAGGGAAAGTGGGAATTAAAATCAGAATCAAGAAACTGCTGCGCAGACGATAAGCAGCTGTCACACGGCATCAGACAACATCTGGTGCAATGCTTATGACTCAGAAAGGCCAAGGGAAGTAAGGAATGGTAGCAGAAAGATGATGCTTTAGAATTTATTTTAGAAAATGTCTTTCGATTCTGAAAGCAGTTTCCAGGTTAAAAGCACAAAAATATATTAAAACCAGCAGCACAAAAGAAAATATACAACTGTGTCTAGTTTAAAAATGTGTATGTACACTCATATGTCTGTGTGAACCTTGTAAAGGATAGAGGGACAGCCATGCCCACTGCTGGTAATTAGTCCCACGAGAGGTTTCCCAGACAGCTATCCAGAACTCAACTTGAAAATTCCCCCTACAACAGTTTTGCGTGCTTGCTACAACACAAGACTGCTTCTTCATCCTAGAAGAGGCATTCCTTCTTAGATGAGAAAGGAAAAAAGAAAACATTTACAGATACCCTGTTTTCCCAAAAATAAGACCTAACCTGAAAATAAGCCCTAGTATGATTTTTCAGGATGCATGTAATATACCGTATTTTTCTGTGTATAAAACACTTTTTCCTTTAAATAATTAAGAATAATTAAGCCCTTTGATCCCTGCTCTTCCATTCCTTTCGCTAAACTCCATGTCTTAGCAAAAGGAAGGGAAAAGCAAGGATCAAATTTTCTAATTTGGGGTCAGAAAAGGGGGGTCGTCTTATACACTGGGTCATCTTAAAATGGAAAAATATGGTAAGCCCTATCCCAAAAATAAGCCCCAGTTAAGTGAAACCCCGCCCTTCACCCTTGTGCAGCAACCAGAAGATGACATGACTGTATTTGAATAAATGTACTGTAGATGGTCGTACATAAAAATATAAAACATCCCCTGAAAACAAGCCCCAATGTGTTTTTTGGAGCAAAAATTAATATAAGATCCTGTCTTATTTTCGGGGAAACATGGTAGTGTTTATCATCTGCTATTTCTTTAGATATTTGCATTAAACTATATACAGTATGAAAGGGATGTGGTGGCGCTGCAGGCTAAACTGCAGAAGCCTGTGCTACCGGTCAGAAGACCAAGCAGTCGTAAGATCGAATCCACACAACGGAGTGAGCGCCCGTCGCTTGTCCCAGCTCCTGCCAACCTAGCGGTTCGAAAGCATGCAAATGTGAGTAGATAAATAGGGACCACCTCGGTGGGAAGGTAAACAGCGTTCCGTGTCTAAGTCACACTGGCCATGTGACCACGGAAGATTGTCTTCGGACAAACGCTGGCTCTATGGCTTGGAAACGGGGATGAGCACTGCCCCCTAGAGTTGAACACGACTGGACAAAACTTGTCAAGGGGAACCTTTACCTTTACATATACAGACTGAAATCCTCTTGTGTACATTTTGCCAGTGGAAGGATGATGGCGCCACCAGCAGGGGGATATTTTTAATAATAAAAACTTCCCCCGTCTCTCTCATGGGATTAAACTTTGCACCCTAACTTAAACGAAGTTCCTACACCAAAGGAAGAATAAAGAGAGATTGGAGTATGTTGAGAAGTGTAGTTACCAGTTATAATAGTGCCGATGAACAAGAATACACAGAGGAAGATGTTTCCTGCTTCAGTCCCAAAGTGATCAATTATTTGTCCTTGGCTGATGGTGAAAATTATTCCAAAAATCTAATACAAAACATTTAAAACTGTTACAAAGGGGTTGAACAAATAAATGCTAATACCTTTGCTCAAATGCCCTAAATCGTTCCTTGCCTCTCTTGTTGCTGTTTCAGTTATATCATACCTCCTTCCGTAGATCTCATGCCCTGTCACTGTAAATAAAATAAAAGCTTGAAAAGCTTTGCTTTTGGGGGGAGTGTGACCCCATCCAGACTAGGTACTGTAAATAATCCCCTAATCTGGCAGGAGACAACCCGCCTCTAACAACAACTTCTCCATCTTGTTTGGATTCAATTTCAACTTGTTTGCCCTCATCCAGTCGGTTACTGAGAACAGACAACGGTCCAGGAGCTGAATGGCACCCAGTGAAGATGTTGTAAACAAAAAATAGAGCGATGTGTTGTCATCATATTGATGACAACACACCACAAATCTCCAAATGAGTCTCCCAGTGGCTTTACACAGATGCTGATTAAAACCCACGGGACACCATAGCATAGGATCCATGGAGATGATACAATCTTCCACTTTCTGGATGCGGCTATCAAGGAAGAACTGGAACCAGTGATGAACTAGGCCTCTGATCCCTAATCTTGAAAGTCACTCCAGAAGGATACCATCACTGACAATATCAAAAAGCATCTAGAGACTAATCTGGTGTCTGAGAAGACATATACCTGTGATTGTTGTTGAAGAAGCACTAACCTGGGCAGATACATTAAGGAGACCAGATGATGTCCCTTCAGATTCCGGATATGTTAATTCTGCTGCAAGTTCAAAGCCCAGTGGCAGGTACCCTGTCATGAAAAAACTGCCATGCAAAATGTCAAAATAATTAGCTACAATATCAAGGTCAGGTCATTTAAATGTACAGAGCTACTACAGTTCCCATTTCTCGCAGAACTCATGAATACCCAGTTACAAAAAAACTACCTGTAATTCCTTTTGCTCTAACTAAAGCATATTTAAATTTCATTATGACTGCAACTTGATGAACTGTAATTTTGCCCCCTTTTCAATGTATCTTTTCAATGTTATTGTCTGTTTTCTCCCATCTTGGATCATTGTTTACTTAGTAATATATTGTTATGATTTTAAATTGTTAAATTGTTACATGATATGTTGTTAGCCGCCCAGAGTTCAGTAGTCTATATGACTAGATGGGCGGGCTATAAATTTAATAAACAGATAGATAGATAGATAGATAGATAGATAGATAGATAGATAGATAGATAGATAGATAGATAGATAGATAGATAGATAGATAGATAGATAGATAGATAGATAGATAGATAGATAGATAGATCTGTAAACTTAAGTCTATATGAATCATATTGTCTCACTACTTAGCTGTATTTTGTAGCATCGGCCACCAATTTGTAGCATTTTGATTTTTAAAGTAAAGTATTTTAGGTATTTTTAATAACAAGAATGTAAAGATTTAAAGTTAAAATGGGAGCTCCGAACTGTAACTGCAACTAATTACGGTAAGAAGTAACTTTCCATTCTCTGCTTTCTCCTGAGTCTCAAATGCACAGCCCCACCTCATTCCCACAGCATTTCACAAATCCCTGCTCTCCAGCAATAAGATGGTCACAGCCAGCAGAAGCAGGAAAGGTCACTGTGTGCTGGTGGGCAGACCTCACAACGGCCAAACATTCTTTGCTCATTGACATCTCCACTTCCCATGGAGAGAAGGGAGAGGTCTTTAATTCTGGTAAGAGGCAGCAACAAAATGCCTCAGAAGAACAACTATAAAAACTGATTCTAAATGATGGGGCCAACGTAGGAAGAAAACTTACCCCAGGACACCTGCGGTCACAAAAACCACCCAGAGATAGCCTAGGTTCAGAGTAAAAGTATAGATCACCATGCCTACAAATGACATGATGTAAACCAACAGCGTTGTCTGCCTATAACAAAGAAAAGCATAACAGCATTAAGCCAGTGCTCCTACCCTCTAGTCAACATTTCTCTTTCAACTCCCCAGCAACTCCTTATAAACCATGAAGCAAAATAAGCACATGCTTAGGCCATCAGCAATGGAAGTGGGCACCACAGAGGTATTTTCAGTGCCGGATTTACCATGAGCCATGTTGTAAATAGTTCACCCTCCTTAACAAACCACATCCATCCATCCATCCATCCATCCATCCATCCATCCATCCATCCATCCATCCATCCATCCATCCATCCATCCATCCATCCATCCATCCATCCATCCATCCATCCATCCATCCATGAGAATGAACCAGTAAAAGCTAAAAAGTATAAAGACTCATCTAGCAAGAAAACCTATGTTTTTAGGGAAATGATCAGTCGCTGTTGTCATCATCGCTTGGTGTTCGTTTTTATTTTTACTTCTGTACAGTATTTTGGAAGGCTGGGTGGGGATATGGACAAAAAAAACCCCTGCTGGTCTTTTAAACCTATGGCCTCTGCACTCTATGTGCAAGCCAAAGGAATAACAGCCACCGTTAAAAGCGTCGCAAAAGGATTTTTTAATCTCTTGTTTGAGGTTTTCAGTTTTCAGAATCTGATTAAAATCTGTCTGCACTAATCAAAGTGTAAAAGCATAAGATCTAGCTGGAAGCTGATAATTTGATTATATGTATGATTCTGCATACAATCCATGGTTCTTTTTTGCCATGTGCTATATGTGGCAATCTCCCCTGAAGCCCCTATTTTCTCAGGTCTTCACGAGGTTCTTGCCCTTCTTATTTCTTCGCTGCCACCAGGTATTGCTGTCTCAATACCATTCACTCAAGGAGACATGTGTACTTTTGAAACTTAACTCAGTTATTAGATCAGGGAAGTTAACATCTGATTAATATACAGTAGGTAAATCACAGGTTGCTAATCACTTGTATTAGAATCACTTCTACTTTAACTTTAAAGCTCTGTCAACTATCTGTTCCATTCAGCGTTCTGATCTCTAACTTGCTCTTAGTTCACTCTTAAGTTTCACACTGTCTCTCACTACCAGAATCTCTCTCCCAGGCTCCATACACCAGCCTTTATATCCAGCCCCCTCCCCCCTTGGCTCCACCTTCCGTCCTCTCATTGGCTCGTACTCCACTGTTCAGCTGTGACTGACAGGTGAGGGCAGGGCTGCTCGCTACACTATACAATTTAATTATCATATTTTCATGCATATACTGTGTGCATCATATGGTTTTTTTCCAAGCCCTGTGATCTGCCACGTGCCGTATTCATAGGGGCATGATAATTTTTTCAGTGCTTAGGGCCTCCAAAGGTCTTAATCTGGCCCTGCTCCCCAGTCATATTTTATTACATTTTAATTAAGAGTCCATTAGGGGGGAGGGCAGGATACACAAATCTTATATGACAGCCTAAGAATATTTACATTTTTATTTTTACAACAGTCATAATTCCTGAACTTTCCATCCAAGGATCAACAAGATGCTACGCAGGAAGTTGTTCAAAAGCTAAGGCTAAACCTGTGGAGGGGCATGAAACTCCAGAGATGCCTCAACATAGAGGCACAGCAGCAAACATTTCCTGAGTACTGACAGACTAAAGCAGCTGGACATGTGATAAGCCCCGGTCCCTATGAAACAGAAATAGGCTACTTGAGTGGAGCTATCTGATGCAAAGCTGATCCATTGTCCAAGTGGAAGAATCTGTCTGATTCCAAAATTCCTTAGCTAAAGTGAGGCAAGCATGTGAATAAAAGAACAGCAGCACATTGAAATGTTTCACTATGCATTTGTCTAGACAGCTGAAAACTCCTCTGAAGAAAGTGGGTGGCAAAAAGATCACTACCTTTACGCAACAGTAGAACTGGAATATGGCTCCCCCAGGGGAAAAGATGACACTTTGCTCCACTGCTGTGGCATAATCCATTTACTTTAGCCGCAGAGGCTGGAAAAGGCAGCCTTACTTTGCCAGCGGCAAAGGAAAATAAAAAGCTGTCTGCCTGAGTGTGCTGCCTGCAACAGAACACATGAAAGGCTTTTAAGAATCCGCCTGTTATTTCCATATGCAGCTTTGCCGCCCTTTTGCTCCCAGCTCTTGCAGCCGACTCACTTTTCTCACTTCTTCTACTGCAAGGACTAAAGGCTTTTGCGCACTCAAGTCATGGGAAAACAAGCCAGAGACAGGAGCAGAAGCAAGCTCAGCAGAACTCAAACACTTTTGGGCTGTTTTCATCAGAATCGTTGGTCCCCAGGCAGATTCAGCAATATTCTCTCTCTCTCTCTCTCTCTCTCTCTCTCTCTCTCTCT